GACAGGTAGGGGGTAGGGTCCTAGGGGGCCAGTTAGGATGGGGGGGGAAGGTCTCAGGAGGGGGCAGTCAGGGGACAAGGAGTGGGGGGGAGGGTTGGGGGTTCTGAGGGGGTGGGAAGTGGGAGGGAGTGGAAGGGGCAGGGGCAGGGCTAGGGCAGGACTGGGTGGGGCTAGGGCGGGGCTCCTCCTGTCCTCTTTTTTGATTGTTGAAATATGGTAACCCTAGTCTGGCTGAGCACCCTGCCCAAGTGGTGTGCTGAGGCTGTGGATGAGGGGGGAAGCAGGGGAGGGGCTCTGGCCGCCGCGTTCCCTCACAGGTGCACAGCCCCACCCCCAGCGCTGCTGGGCGGCATGCTAAGGCTGCAGGGGATGGGGGGGAGCCGAGAAGGGGCTTTGGCTGCCGAGGCCCCAGTGCGAGCGGCGCTCAGCCGCCCTGTCAGCCACTTTTCGGTCAATAAATAGCCGACTGGGGGGAAATCCTGGACATTTTTAGAAATCCCCCCCTCCCCCCCACCCAGATGGCTATTTAAAGAGCGAAAAGCTGGACATGTCCGGGGAAGCCCGGACGTATGGTAGCCCTACTCTTCACCCTTGCCCAGGACACTGCAGAACACCTTCAAATTCAGAACTTAGCCCATCCTGACTCTGAGGCCTCTACCGAGAACTATCATGGCTTGTGTCAGCAACTGGGGCTTGATGATAAAAACAGAACTATGACCTTTCTTGTACTAATGTGCTTTGGGAGTGTGGATCTGAGCATGTGGTGTCTGGTCCATGGGTATTGTGTAACACCTGTGTAGGTGGGATCTGTTGTGGTGATTGGGTCTGCACATTTACTCTAATTGTGAGATTCACTGTAAAATGTGGAAGTTCATAAAAATGTCACGAAGTGGTGATGGTGGGCAGGGATGCAGGGGAGGTATAAAGGAGACAGACTGAATTAGTCTAAATGAAAAGGCCTACTGATATAACTCAAGGACCAAGTTGAAACCGTACTCAGTAAAAACAGATGTGGAACCAGAAACAAGTGAACACTCGTTTACCAATGAGGCCTAATAATAAGGGGGTGGGCTAGTCTATCCATCGTTTTCTTGTGGGTCCTTAAAGACTGTAGTTGTGGGGGAAGACCGAACAAATGAAGGCTACTAGAGCAAGCTTCACCATTATCGCTACCACCCCACTGTCTCCTGGGGCCCTGGACTTTCTTTGCCCTAATCCTGAGGCATATCCTAACCAGGCTAGAGGGATCCAGATGACCTCTCCACACCATCAGTGGTACCCAAAAGTGTATTGGAGTAGCAAAGTGGCCATGTACTGTGCTCCAATCATCTTCTGTGCTCAGTGGTCTGTAACCTAATCTTCCAGGTGCCCGCCTGACACCAGAGCAGTGCCAAGTGGTGGCTGGGAAGATCCCCTGTGCAAATGCCCTTGACCAAGCTGCCTGCTTCCAGGCTGGCTGCTGCTATGATGGGACTGACCCAACTACTCCTTGCTACTATGGAAACACAGGTAAAGGACCAGCTGAAGGAGTTCTGTCCCATAGAGCTCAGGGCATGTTCACATGTTAACACTCAGTTGGAGGAGGAGCAAGCCCTGAGCCAGCAACTGCTGCTGTCTTGTTCCATCTCCACTGGGCAGGGAGAAGAAGCAGGGGATGGAAACTGTCCCCAGATCACATATTCAGGGCCCAGAGTTGATGTAAACTGAGTACATCCATAGATGTTCACACCCAGGTTTGTGGTCCTTCCCACTTAAAGCATGGGAGCTCTCCACAATGATTCCCATTGCCCCAACCATAAAGGTGGAGAGGAAATGGCTCAAGAATGCAAGCCTGAACTCTCAACACCTGAGAAACCTCAATCAGTCTATGAAGGGCCTATGCAGAGTGTGCAAGGTAAGTGGAAAGAATCCATCTGATCGCCAGGGGGTTTCATTGAGGGAATACCATGGCCCAAGCCCTCCTTTCCATAGCCTTCTCTCTTTCTGAAGGAGAAATGGGCGGGGGCATACTAGCCTGTGTTCTGAGACACAGTGAATATTGGCCTCTTCCCTCAGCATGTCTGTGCCCAAACCTAACTCTGGCTTGTAATAAAGGGTTGGGGTTCCTGCCCCCACATGTTCAGCATCATTAGGCTGCAATTGCCGTGCTTACCCTACTCCTTTGTGTTGCAGTCACTCTTCAGTGCCTCATGGATGGTCACTTTGTTCTGGTGGTCTCCAGGGACATGTCTGACCACCCCATCATCCTGGACAATGTACGGCTAGCCTATGCCCAGGCAGGGTGCAATCCCATCAGGATGACAGAGGCTTTTGTGCTCTTCCGCTTCCCCGTCACACAATGTGGCACCACAGTACAGGTGACAATACATCCCCTGACATGTAGCACAGACTCTTCTGCTTCTCAAGAAGGGACTAAACACCTCCTGTTTCCCATTCCCTTCCAGGTGATTGGGGACAAATTGATCTATGAGAATCAGCTGATCTCTGGCATTGACATACAGACTGGGCCACAGGGCTCCATCACTCGGGACAGCACCTTCATGTAAGTTGGTCAACTTCTGTTCTGCATAGACAAGAGTCTTTCAGTGTGAGACCAATCCTCTCTGAGGAATCTAACAGATAACCTGTCAACTCCCTTAGTTGCTAGTTTTTTCAGGACAGAAGAATCTCAAAATGCTACGAGTCAGTCTTAATTCTGCCCTCTCTATGGTAGATAGCTGACTTTCCAGTACCACCAAGCAAGACTACCTTGCAGTTCAGGACTGCTAACAAATACTAGAGCTTGACAACTCTACACTTCAGTAGGAGGGAGAGCTGACTTTCTGGGGAAAACAGAAATCAAAATTTTGGATTCTAGTCTGTTGGAATTTGTCATCAAAGATTAACTTTGATTAAAATCTTCTAAAATAGCCTGTGGAAAACTGACACTTTTGATGCATGTCCCAGTCCAATGACGAGGAAGAATAAAACAAGACTGAAATGTGGCTGGGATGCTAGGGGGATGGCTTCTACTGTAGCAAACCACCATGCAATTAATGGCAAGTTACTAGAGCCTCTTTCTGAATCTCTTAAGTAATGACTGCCCACCTCTCCCTATACTAGGGCACTAACTTGGTGCTGACTCAAAAGAACAAGTGTCAATGACTGAATTGTCAACTGTCCATTGGAGACTTCCCTTGGATCTATTCCATTCAAGTACTGACTTAAATCTGCCAACACGGTTCAATCTGACTAGATCACAGCTTGAGGCAGTAGGCCAAAAACCTGAGATTAGCTTGGGAATGAGCAATTGTGTAGGATCTTATACACTCAGCAAGTGGCACTTGGATCTTGCCACATTGAGCAGTGGTGGGCATTTAAACTAATGGGTACAAATAGCCACAGGGGAGCATGAAGATGCACAAAATGTGACTCTAAAACACCTTAGCTTGGCTAACAAACCTCAGCCCAATCTCCACCCTCTACTCTCTCCTGTGCAGCCTCCATGCTCGTTGCATCTACAATGCTAGTGACTTCCTGCCAGTCCAGGTCAAGGTCTTCTTGCCCCCTATACCTGCACCAGTCACCCATGCAGGACCCCTCCGGTTTGAGCTGCGCATCGCCACAGGTAGGTGACGCCTCAGTCCAGGGCAGCAAACTCATTCCCTGAAGGACCACAGGCATCTCAGATCTGCTCTCCTCCTGCCCTCTCCCCCACAGACCTGAGCTACACATCCTATCTCACGGAGAGAGACTATCCTGTGGTGAAGGTGCTCAGGGACCCAGTCTATGTGGAGGTTCGCATCCTGCAGAGAACAGACCCATCCCTGGTTCTGGTTCTGCACCAGTGCTGGGCCACCCCAAGTGCTAACCCCCTGCAGCAGCCACAGTGGCCCATCCTGGTGGACGGGTGAGTGGCTGGGGGCAAAGGGATTACTGTGTCTCAAGCAATGGTAATCCTGGGAACCTGCTTAAATCTACCCCTCCTTGTTCCTAGGTGCCCATTCCTAGGAGACAACTACAGAACCCAGCTTGTGCCCATGGGCCCTGCCTCATCTGAGCTGCCCTTCCCAACCCATTACCAGCGCTTTGTCCTCTCCACCTTTGCCTTTGTGGACTCTACTTCCCAGATGGTGCTCGAGGGACTGGTAAGGGTTGGGGGGGAGGGGGCTGAATGCCTATCCTTGGTAGCCATTCCTACTACAGCCAGGGAGTGACCCCTGAGCAGCCTCTTCCTCTTAAAGAGGAACTTTGCCCATCCAACTGGAAAAGCTCCATTTTGGAGGGTGTTGCAAGCTGCAGTCCCTGTGAGGAGTTATTCTGAATCCTGGTAGCTTGGTCACATTGTGGTAGGTGAGTGGGTCCAGTTGGCTCAATGTTCTGCAGCCCCACTTCTCTTCAGGAGCAGTGCTCCTCTATCATAAGAACCTGGTCTTGTGCCCTATGACCACTGAACTGCATGGTTCTGGTCACTACTGACCTGGGTACAAGCCTGACCTTGGGTGGAAGCAGCTCTAGCATATAACCTGCATCTTTGCCTTCCACCAATTAGAAAATAGCATGAAGCTTTGGCTGCTGGAGTAGGGCCTCCTTGGGGTGGACAAATCCCACCCCAGTTCTCAATCCAAGAATAGCAAACTCATAGGTTTTGCCTGCTCAAGAAATTAGCTGAGGAAATCCTCCAGTGACTTGTACACACTGGCACCTCCTTGGCTGGTGATGTACCAGGGTGTATTGCCCTCTGCTGAACACCATAACTAAACTTCCCCAATGAAGATGCAAGCCTAGTATTACAGTAACTAATCTGACCTCAAAGGTTAAAAGGGCCAGTCCTTTTTGGAGAAGCATGTTTGAGGCTGTGCACTTGCTGAGTTGCATGACTGGCCAGTGCATTATGTAACTTGGGTTCCTGCCATGTCTGGTTTAGGTGTACATCTTCTGTAGTGCTGCTGCCTGTTCACCATCCCAGCTGGAGTCCTGCAAGACCATATGCCCATCAGGGGTAACTGCAAGTAAGTCTGGCCTCTCTGTTCTAGGCATGGGTGTGGCATGCTGCTGCTGGTTCCAGACCCACACTGGCTGCAGTCCAGCCAGAGCTCTCAACTGTCCAATTAGCTATGTTCTGCAGCATAGAAACAGTTGGTAAGGAGTGTGAACTCCCACTCAGATCAGTGGATCAACTGCATGAGTAAGGTACTCCTCAACCTCTAAAAGCATCACGTAGCTGTACTGAGTTACTTCATGCCAATGCATCTGACGCAGACCACTAGGTCAGATCCCCTGCCCATCCTTGTGGCAGCCATGATGTAACAATGGCTTGACTGTCTCCTGTAGCTGTGTAGGAACCAATAAACACTCCTTGTCCTCCAGGACAGTCCTGATTCTGGAGGTGTGAGCAGAGATCACCCCCTTGTCAGGCCAGCAGCTGGTTCTGAGTGAACTCTGCTTCAGCTTGTTGACTGCATCCTACTGGCAGCCCCGAAGAGCCTCCAGATTCTCTAATTCTCCCTCTCTCTCTCTTCTCCCCCGCCCCCCAGGAGGCCGTCGGTTCCTGACTATCCAAAATGAGACAGAGCCTGTCAATGTGGTGAGCTCTCGTGGGTCTGTGACTTTCCAGAACAGCCCAGAGGCATTCAAAGAGCCAGTCTAGGGAATGAAGGTAACTATCCTCTCAGATCTCACACACCCCACTCAGTGGTGTCAGACACCACAGCCAGGCACATGGCAACTTCAGTCCTGTCTCATTAGGAGGCACTGTCTCCTGCCAATGTGTAAAGAGGTGAGGTAGGGACTGAATCAATGACCTGCCTTGTAGGAGGGAGCTGGTAACAGAAGCTTGCTAGTAGCAGAGGATGCATGGACTCCCATCTGGCCTGGCTCTTACTCATGCCTCTGTTTGGGGAGTGGGGAACACAGGACTGAGACAAAAGTAAGTGAGGATGTCCTATTCAAAAGCACATAGCTGGGATTTAAGTTGCTGGATAGCAGTATCCCCTAAGGGGCAGGGAGTAATGCAAAGAACCAGCTGCCTGCTTCCAGTTTAGAATTAGTGAGTAGGGATGGAGTCAGTCTTATCCCATCCCTGGTGGGGTAGATGAACCTAGGTATCCTTCATCTCCTCTGGCCACCTATCTAAGCCATAATCTCCTTTTCCCACAGACCCTGTCTCTAGACTGGACTTGTCCCCTGTGCTCCTGGCTGGGCTCTTGCTGGTGGTTGTGGGCTCCATCCTCATTGCTGTGATCATGCTTTGGAAGAGAAAAGGATGGATGACCAGGTTCCAAAACCCTCATGAAGGAACATTGTAACAAAAAACAATAAAACTGGTTGTATTCTACTGGTGACCCCTATTCTCTTGGGGTGGCCCAGGACATGCAGTATTCAAACAGCAGTTAAATTGTATTACTTTCTGTAAACCAAAGGTGGTATCCTTCCCCCACTGCCCCAGGTTTAGCCTTCTAAGGTACTAGGGCCCCACAAGTTCTCATAAACTTCATGAATGCACCAGTCCCTCCAAGCAAATATTAACTGAATCAAGGCTGCCTCAACCAGCACAAGTTTCCATAGCTCAATTTGCTAAGGAGAGCAAGAAGCAAGCCTTACATATCTGCAACTATGGTAAGTGTATGCTCAGCACAGAGTTCAGCACAGGTTTTTCCTGCATCTCAACACCCTGTTGCAAGTGTCTCCTTCAAGCATCCATGAGAAGAGGTACTCCCCTCTACACCACCTAAGGGCCAAAGTAGAGGAGTTCTCTAGGAGAATTCCATTACTACTCCTCTCCTCCTCCCCTCTTCCTCCCCCCCCCCCCCCCACACACACACGACG